TAGAAAATATAAATTCTCATTGGTCATGGAAACAAATCTATAGCACCTTGCATGTGACCTCTAGCATCTAAATCTTGATATCATTGAAGAATTGTTATATGCAATGTATTTTTAATATTCTTTGAAAATAATGTAATAGTTAAGCGTTTTTTTCTATACTATATACACCATCCTTTATAAATCTTTGTCGTCCATTTAATGATTATCAATGCTCAAGACGCTGTCATTAGATATCCGCGTGAAACCTAAGGGACATCTATTATAAAAGCATGTTGATATAGAAAATCTAACCTAAATGAAACATTTTAAGCGTTTGAAACCTAAGGAAGTTTGGAAAAGATCTCTATGATGGATTGCAAGAGCAAAAAAAATTTTGGGTTCAAGGTTTGTTTTATTAAATATTTATTCGATCTGAAAATGATTTGATTTTTTTATATTAATCATCTTATCTATTTTTTTCATCAGAAACAATTGCATGTAAGATCAAACAGAAGATCATCTCCAAGATTCAATAATACGAAGATCTAAAGTCTAAATTTTCATAGAATTTGATTATCTAGATCCCTAGGGAATTTGATTTTTATCTTGAAACCTATGGAATTTGACTTTTATTTTAATTTTAATATTTTGTGTAAACAATGTAATATTGGGTAAATAATGTAATATTCTAGATAAACAATGTAACAATTTAAAAAATAATGATAATAATCATACCCCCTCAGTTTTTTGAATAAACTGAGATAAAATAAATGCTAGTTTTGAAAATAATAAAATTACAGTTGATGGAGTTTAAATCCATGAGCATATAACTATACCCCTCAGGTTTTTAATCATTGAGGTGTTAAGTGAGAACTTTTCATTACGCCCTTCTTTACCTCGCTACTTTATCTGAGGTAAAACGTATTTCACGTCTGAGGTTAAAAACATTATCTGTATTAGTCTATCTCTCCCACAATCTCATCGGCTCGATATGATATGGTAACTAGCCTATAGAATCCAATCTTTAGGAGAAGTTTCCAGCCCAAGAATCCTCCTAAAAAAGGTTAAATACCCGATCCCACTTTCTTAGAGATACCATCCACAAATAAATCAGAGGGGTCTTCTTCTTTGGATTCTATGAGACACATTCTTTTTCACTAAGAGGAAGTATAACATAAACATGAATCCATACACCCTGTTAAAGAAGAAACAACTAAAACACCATATCTAGCAGCAAGAACATCACAACAAAGGCTAGAAGCACTCGAGGTAGCCTCGACCTATAGTTAGCCTAAAAGACTAAGTTAACCAAACGAAGACTCCCAACCCCCTAAACCACATTTACTATTAGGTTTACAAATATCCAACCACTTAACCAAACATATCTTAGAGTCTCCCTTCACACCTCTCAAATAAACCTTATGTGGATCCCAAAAACCTTCTTCCAAATATTCACTAGAATTTTCAAACTAGTCAAGAAGAAGATTAGGATATCATTAAGCATATAATTAATCAAGATTGATTAACCATCCAAAATAATATACATGTTCTTCCAAAAATTAAGCCTTTTGGACAACAAGTTAACTAGAATGTCCTAAGTAGTTTCAAGACAATGATTAGCCCTCGCGAGAAACCCCATATAAGTAAACGGAATGGAATTAAGCTTATAATGGATAAAACCACCTATCGAATCTAAAAAAACAGGATTTACATTAACCCATATCAGGCTATTCTTAGAAAAAAATAATTAGAAGGCTCGATGTTAGCTAAAAACCTTAAAGATAGCCTTAATTCTCCACATATTTTTAACTAGGGGATCAACCAAGATAACGCTATCATTTTCATAATGAAGATAAGATACCATAAAATTAGAAGACCCTAATGTGAACTCGGAAGAAAGATCCAACTCAACAATCATATGAATCAAACCACTAAGATCTTCTATCAAATGTAAGAAAAGGAAATGAGCTTGAGGTCACCTTGTTTCAATTAGAATACTAATCTCTTATGTTAGGCAATCATTCAGCAAAATCACAAGATTTTCTGGAAAAACACAAGTTCTCAACCAAAACCTTCACTTATCATTAAACTCAAATTTAATTAGTATATAATTCAAAAAAATCTCAACTAACTGAATCATACACTTTCAAGAAATCCATCTTAAAAACGAGGCATAATTTTCTAGCTTTCTTCCCCAAGTTAATAGCATCATTCACTTCCATAACACCATTAACCAACAAACTTTTTTTAAGGAATGAAAATTAGTTTGACGAAATAAATTTATCCATCTCTACACTCAGTATAGACAACAATACTTTAACTACTAACTCATATAAAGATTAAAAGTAAAGTATTTAAAGTATTTAAATATATTTACTTATAATAATAATTGGGTAAAATTATTTAATTTATATAATATAATAAATACATTACTACAGAAACAATATACAACAACGTTCACGTTACTACGATCAAAGGATTCATTGTATTTAATTAGTCTTTTTTTTTCATTTTTATTTTCAAGCCAGTATTTACCACGGTTAAAAGCAACAACCGTGATAAAAAATATTGCATCGTCATAAGTTTAAATCTTATTACTATTTTTTACTGTATTTTTTTATATTTTATTAAAAAACATAAAATAATGATTGAGTGTCTTCAATCTTCATTAAATATATTCTTGATGTATTTTTCTGAGTTTAATGATTACTTCAGTTGGTTCTAGTTTGAAGAGCTCTAGTTATTGCCCTGCTTTTGGATGTCTTTAGTTTGCTTTGATTTTGGTTTGAATATCCCTTCATTGGTGGTTGGAGTTTTTGTTTGATCTTTTTGTTTTTGTTTATCTTTGTTTGAGTATATACCTCTTGTCTCTCTTCTCATTCTACTTCCACCTTTGGTGCTATTTTCCTTTAAAAAATTAACTAATTTAATTTGACTAATGAACAGGTTGCTAAATATTAAAAACGTGAATACATGAAAATGATAGTGCAAAAAAGATAAATTATTGTTATTCCATCCTTAAATATAAGATATTTTCTTAAAAAATTACTATTTCTTTTTACAAGACCCGTTATAAACTTTAAACTTCATTAATTGTTTCGTTACCAACATAACTCTATTTATTTTCCTTATTTTTACAATTAATAGTAAATACTATCATAAATTTTAAAATAACTACTATCATGAATATATAAATTAATTTTTTCAAAGCATAAATTTATTAAAAATATGTTAATCAAAATCGGATAGGACTGATGGTTCAATCGAAAAATAGAATTGTAAATGGTTTGTTTAGACATGAAAATTGGTATATAGAAAAATTGGGATTTAAATAAGAAAATCCGATAAAAATTGAAAAACTGGTCGTTCAAACAATTTTTAAAGTCAAACCAAATTTTGTTTCTAGTTTATAAAAATATGATAAGAGATTTCATTTTGAATTAAAATAATATTTGATTTAACTTTTTTTCTTTCTTCAATCATTATTATTATTATTATTATTATTATTATTATTATTATTATTATTATTATTATTATTATTATTATTATTATTATTAAATGAAGGTCTAAGGTCAAGATACCTAACCTATTGAAAATATAAAAGACTATAAAAAATTTAAAAATTATTAAATATTAATTATTATAAAATTATCAATCATTTTTTTATATTATTTAAAAAATATAATTATTATTGTGCATTATTATTATTTTACCTAAACAAAAAGACATATTTATTTAACACCGGTTCAATTTAGATTTAATTCCGATGTAATTTTAAATTCATGAATTCAAAATATACTAGTTTGACAATTGATCCCGTTTTGATTATCTTAAAAAATATTAATTATTAACGGATACAATACTTTTATTAATTTTTTTAATTTCGATAATTTTGTCAAAAAGTTTCTATATCTAAATCTACCGAATATATTTGTTCAACGTTATTAAAAAATTTAATTAACTTGACTAAACATCATTAAAAAAAATAATGTTTAGCTTTGAAAGTTGAATTCTTTTACCCTGTCTATGTTTCTTACACAAAAAGCAACATACAGATTAAAACCATAATCAATTGTCATTTGATACATAAATTTGAGTTGTTAGCTCAAGATTAAAGAAAAAATATATCCACTAATCTGTAAAAACTGAAACTTAAATACTTGATAAACTTAATTAATATTTAATATACCATTTGTTCATGAAGGACCACGTAAAGGAATGACTTGAATTATTTAGTTGTTGTTCTGAAATTGGACACCAACTACAACTGAAAGTAATAACAACTTGACACTTTGTTATTTCTCTTCAGCCATTCGCTTATTATGTCTCCTGCATGCTTTGGATGTAGTAGGATCAGAAAATAATACAGTTTGTTGTTTATCTTACTTGAGCACTAAATTTAAATTAGCAAGCTCAGAAGAAAGAAGTGTAAACACGCTTTCTACGTACTACAATAACAAAAAAGTAACTGTGGTGAAACAGAAATGGATGATACAAGTTTATATAGTACAATAGACATGATTTTAATTATGGCAAATAGTTGAAGTTGAAGTTACACTACCAGACAGTAGTAACAGACTATAACAGTATTATACCATATGACCTTGGTGGCAAAACTTCAGATAAACAGTTTATATTACTAGTAATATTTTTGTAACCCTATCTTAACCGTTACCATATATAATGCACATGCAAAATAGTTCTATATAATATATTGGACCCCCACAAGAGCCTGTTTATCAAGCAAGCAAGCAACAAAACAACAGAAAAAGTTCAGTACTAAAAGCAAGATACAGAAGCTTATAACAACACCTTTCCAGCTACTCTTTTTCTTTTTTTTTAATCTTTTTCTCTCATAGATTCTTTAATTAACTTGTTTCCAAAAGGACATTCAAATGAAACCCTAGTTATATAAAGCATTAACTTCACAGTTCACACCACTCATGTTTCCTATAACTAGATCTCATTGTTAATTAGCTTGTACACACTCTAAACATTTTTTCTTCTTCTATTGGTATAAGATGGATGAATCTCAAAATTTGATATGGATGAAAAGGAAACAAGTCTTGAACAACAACAACAGCTCTTGGGAGGAAAAAGCTTTTGCTGAAGATGCAGCTAGGATACTTGGTGGATGTATATGGCCACCAAGATCCTACTCATGTCACTTCTGTAAAAGAGAGTTTAGGTCTGCTCAAGCTTTAGGTGGTCACATGAATGTTCATAGACGAGACCGAGCTAGGCTCAAACAAACTCTTACCAAAAATAATGACTGTAAGTCTTCATTATAATTATACTAAAATGATTAATTAATTGCGACTCTTCTATAAGCTAAATTGATTTCTAACTTTGTATTTACAGTTACAACAAGTAGAGTTTCAACTACATCTACACACGAAAATTGTTTTCAGATTCAGCCCAACGTGTCGTCGTCTTCAATTAGATGGGGGAATAACCACATGGAGTTTCATGATTCTGAACCAAAAGGGCTACTAGTTCATGCAAGGGAACAGTTTTTCAAAGGCTATGGTTATAATGATTATGTTGAAACAAGTTTGTCTATGGGACAACATAATTCAATGTTTGTCCAAAATTTGCAAACTGTTGATGATTCATGTGGGGACAAAGGCGTAAATTATAAAAAATCAAAGACAGCAGCTTCTATTTCATCTTCACTTCCTGTCTTGCTGAAGCCATGTTTGAATGATAGATGTCTAACTTTTCAGTCTGCAGTTGGAATTAAGCCTGGAATGGAAGACTTGGATCTTGAACTCAGGCTAGGGAAATTAACACAGAAAGTTTAGCATATAGGACAGATATAAATTGTAATGGAATACTAACCGCCACTGTTTTAATTTATCCTTTTTCTCTTCTATTTTATTAGCTGGAAAGGTGTTGTTATAAGCTAGGTTCTCCATATTTTCTTAATTATTTTGTCTAATCAAAACCTTGAAGAGAATGATAAGATTTCATTCTTTTCATGAAATGTTTAACTTGAATACTGATTCTATTTCTAGTTACATGTGATACTCTTATCTTATTTTATTTGTTGAATATGTATATGTTATCACTTTGATTTTCAATTTTAGAGTATATATATAGTTATATATCTATCTGCATTAATTATATATCTCTAGTTACATGTGACATCTTTAGGCTAGGGTTTCACAATGAAGGGGTATGCACAGAAATGTATACACATGGCGAATATGTTGAAAAACCAAACACTGAAATGTATTCACCTCTTTTTTTTTATTTTAAAGAAAATATATTATATAAATATAAAAAGACATTAAAGGTCAATAGAGGATAAGTAGATGCTGGACAAGCACAAGAGATACTGAAACACCAAAAAGAAGAAAAAGAAAAATACAAACATGAGATAAAAAGCATCCATCAAAACAAAACCACAAACAACCCTCCACAACACATAACCCTGAAAAAACAATTAGAAAAAGAGAGACAAAGGTAGAGCTCCCCAATTACAGACCAACACAATCAAATACCAAAAATACACCAAAGGGAGGTCGTAGACAATCTAGCTACTTTTCTTCTCAAATGAATGATATGATTCTCGACTCAGATCGATAAAACACAAGATTTAACCACAAATCTACTAAAATAGCATTTCCAAGTCAAGAAGATGCTCACAAAACTACATAAAAGGCATTTTACCTTGGTTGGAAATGGATTTTATCTAGGGGTAACAAAACGGTTTGTGGCTCGCAAGACCGGTATGCGCAGCTGCTAATATAACAGGTTTTGTTAGGATTTTGGGACCGCCTACGCTCCACAGCTCGCCACATGCACCCGCCGCAGCACACCATGCGCACTCGTTGGGCCGGCCCGCGGCCCACGACCCTCTTTGCCACCCCTAATACAAGGTACCTTCTCATTCTCAATTCTCTTAATTGTTGTCATCATATATTTACAATAAAGGTTGCCGTTTTGCCACCCCTAATATTATCTCGGTTTTACATATGATCAAACAAAGAGTATCATGAGATTTTGCCCGTTTACCCTTCAATTGTTGTTTCAACGAAGGAAAATTTGTATTGTCATTGGTTCGATTGCCGACAACACCATTTTTTAAAATTTTCAAAACTATAAAGCGGCGACGCACACCTCTCAATTTCTATTAATATTCGAGAAAAAAAGAATGCATTTACGTCCGTTTGAAATAATAGGCGAGGAATGAAACCTATTTTTTATCTGATAATTTGTTTTAAATCTCAAATTGACTTAAATGTATTTTTTTTAGACAAAAACTATATACAAATTTTGTGATAGAATTAAAATATTTTATTTTATAATAGAACATAACTAAATATACGAAGAATTTCAAATTATATTATTTATAAAATAAAATGTAAACATATCTAAAATGGTACACTAAAAAACCTATATACATATTTGAAAACAAAACCATAATGATAAAATCAAATACATGTGTAACAGAAAATCTATACACAATGCTTACAGCAACTAAGAAAAGTTAGTGTTGTTGAGATTAATGAAAAGATAGGAACAAATCGGTTCAATGTGATTGTCATCTATATATTCTTGTGAAAATGGTGTTGGTTTGCTAAACACCTATAACATTAAAGATTCAATTTCAACATAAACTTTTTAACATTAATATTTTAGGAGCTAACAACAACAACAACAACATTAACTTAACAAATATAAATAATTACATGTATATGGATAAAGTAAATACCTTAACTCATGAATTACAAATGTCTCCGCAGACAATATCAAATATATGTTTCATAACATAGTATCCACATGAATATTCGTTGGATTATTTTTGTGTCTAAAAATAATTTTCATATAGTTATTAATATACACAAAACACAAGTAATACATTAGTGAAAATAAAGTGAATGTAAAAGAACACAAGTAATACTTACTTTTGGAAAAAAAGAACTTTGATTTTTCACCTCTTATTTTACAATGCAAAAAACTGTATCCCTCCATATTATTTGTACTCTGATGTCAACTCGCCTCCTGGCCTTTGATGTGCCCTCTTCTATTTCTCACGATGTGATGGTGGAGATGGATTGCGATCAAGACTTTTAGAAGGATCTCTTAACTCAAGTTCTCTTTGTTTCCTTTTTTCTTTAATCATTATTTGTTCCAGTTTATCAAATCCTCCACACGACAATCTATGTGGATAGATATTTTTTGCTCTATTCTTCTTTCATTTTGGCTTTTAGCCAAGAGCACATGAGTGTTGCGAGACTTGAAAAACTCCTAACAAATTTCATTATCAATATATGCATACATCTATTAGCTCCTAAATTTGACACCCACAACATATTGGCCTTATGGTCCAAAAATAGATTGAACAAATCTAAGCTGAAAATACTTCGACAGATAGAAAAATACTTAGAGAAATTTATAGGTTAAAGTTGGTGTTCGACCAAAAGGTTCTTGCGGCCTTCGAATGAAAGGCCTTTGTGGCCTTCGACTAAAAGGAAACCTCGTATCAGCAACAAGTGATTTTGAATCTGAAGAAAGGGGGGGAAAGCAGTTTTCCTGGCAGTTGAGAAAAACAATGTGGCATGAAGATAGAGGTTGAAGCATATGCAGAGGACACTTGTCCTCATCTTAGAGCAAAGCAAATCCTCGACGGTTACCTAGTTCTAGTATAAATATAGGAAGTTTATGTAGATTTTCGGATGTTCAACTAACTGTACAATTCATTCAATACTATTTGAGTACCTGATGCGTGAGAAAGAATACTGAAAATGTACGTTTGAAACACCACATTTTATAATCAAAGTCTTTTACATTCCTCTTTATATTCCTTGCCTTTTTATCTTACTTACAAAAATCTATTTTCCCTTGCATTTTACTTGCACTTTTTACCAGATTTCTGCACTTAAACTCTTCTCAACCCCTTTTCTACTTGCTTTCTACACTCAAACTTATATCAAACCTCAACCTTTCGCAGTTGAACGTGTATTCTTTATTAATATTAGCATTTATATCCAAACAACGCCAATAATTAGCATATGTCCTAGGATCAAACTGATCGATCCTACGAGTAACCAAAAAATTACCCTTTTTGAAAGATCAGCGGTTGTTTACCAATCAACACGGTAAACAACATCACGTATAGAGGCTCTAATGTTACACTTTGGTTTTGTAATATAATCACTTATGAGTTGTGTCTTAAAGCCCCTCCAACGCTCAACATATTCAATCCATTTCTTTTTCAAGATAACATCCTCTGTATTAATAAACACTTTCTACATTAACATAATAAAGTTGATATTAGTATTAAACCAAATAAATAAAGGACGACCTATACTTATAAAAATATCATAAAATTTAATATAAATATTGTAATATCGCTCCATAATTGATCTTTTAAATCATAAAAAATTTCGTGTCAATTATCTATCAAAATGCTGACTTTGTTTCTATCTTATATTGACACCTAACTCCTAAAACTCTAAGCATGTTCATCATAAGTCTTACCAGTTATTGGATAAAAAATAACTAGGAAGCGAACACCGCTTTCATGAGATTTTAACACCTCGGTCATCAGGTCATCATCGTGGTACCTCTAGTTTTTATTTTACTTTTAACATTAGTAGAGGTTGTATGAGAGGTATTGATCGAATCACCCATCTCTGTTTAAATAAGAGCTATACTATTAAAATGAACAAATCTCTGCTAAGACACCTAATACATATGAACTATACTATACTCATAGTACACTTCCTAAGAACATTTAACTTGAAACAAAAACAACAACATCAACATTTTACTATACTAGTCAAGCTTATAATAAGGATCGAGAAAAATAACAACAAACAAAAAATAGTTTATTATTAGTATATTAAGAGTTACAAATTTTTAAGAACATATATTCAACAATATCACTCTCTAGATGAGTAGAGTTCCACATATTCTCAAACTAACATTATTAAATAAAAATAACATTTCAAGAAAAACAACATTTCCATCAATATTTTAGTGGTCAATGCGTAGCACCATTTTCTCAAACTAACATTATTCAAGATATACAACATTTTAATCAATATTTCAGTGGTCAGTGACACCAATTTCTTAAACTAACACTATTCAAGAAAAACAACATTTATATCAATATTTCAGTGGTCAATGACATCATTTTTTGAAACTAACACTAGATAAAGTGAGTCACGTACCGAAAACGTGATGAATAAGCTCCATTCGAGATAGGTTGGAAGAGTTGATGTTGAATGAGTTGTGTTGGAAGAGATGATAAAATCTGAGTTTAGGGTGTTTTGATGCAGATCAAAACCGCCTAGATTTTTTTAAGAGAATGACGATGAAATAAGGAATATTGATAGATAAATGAAAATTTATAGTCTAGTTCTATGAAGTATTAATGGAGAATAACTTTCACGTCTTGTATAAGGGATAACCAAGGGAATAGGTTAATTTAAAATTTTAAAAATAAAATAGGAAAACGTGATTTTTTTTGTGAAATTCATGCAAATGATATTATCCCTTGATTAGACAAAGTAATTGAGGAAAAATATAAATTTAAAAATAAAAAAAAATTAATAGAAAAATAAAGGCATTTGAAACAAAAGGACATTTAAGTAAATAATTTAATAAAACCAATATTTTTATTGCAATAAAATTAATTTAATTTTCTTGTATCATGATTATTTCGTTTTCATCCGAGAAATATTAATTTTGTAATTCAAAATATATATAAAAAAGAGAAAGGGGAAAGGCTCCAACTGAAAAAAATGTAATGCTCGATGTCTAAGCCAATTGAAAAATAAATTAAAAAAAT